TTTACATGAGACAAATGGTTTTCTGATTTTGTGATATTGCCAGCGGAGTGGCTGCATGGCCGTCATTCAAGCCAGATAGCAGAATTTTCACACTGGAGTCTCTTGAGTGTATAATTCATGTTCCCCACACTATTTCCAAGTGTGATAGATCCCTCTGATTTAAACTTGGAAAATTAGTGTTCTTGAACCGGCCATTAAAACAGTTTCATTGTTGGTGCCAAGTGCCACCTGTGGTCACACACTTGTTTTTCCCACACCTCTCTCAGCACCTCTCTGTGGGTCTGTCTTTGGCTTCTACCCCTTCATAGGTCAAGGTGTTTTGGAGCTGTGAGGCAGCATATGTTCAGTCAATACTACAGGCTACTTTCACGGATTTATTTTTAATTTTCACTCCTTTCTTGACTTAAGTAATTACTCTGGGAAGAAGTTATTATCTAATTTTAAAATGTGCACATTTAACCTCTCAGCCACCATAGCAAGTATTCATTTAAAATAATCAGAGAAGCTGCAGAGCAACATAATTTTCACATGTAGCCTGTTGACCCTTGTTCCTAGGTTTTCATATGTACATGCTGAGAATTTTAGATTTCCTGCTTCTGAATTTGGAAAGAGGTTTTGTTTCTGTTTGTTTGTTTGTTTTCCCCAGTCATATTTCACAGTGAAATGAAGTAACCAAGTTTAAATGCCAGGATTAGGCTACATAGTTTGAGTTTCAGGCCCACACCTTATTAGTTTTGTGATCTTTGCAAAGTTCCTTGGTCTCCCTGTGCGTCCCCTCTAATAAGACAAGAGTAGTAACATATCATGAAGCTACCCCATGCCAGAGCCCTTGTTTCACTAGTAGGTGAACCCCCCTGAGGTCAGATCCTTGTCCTGTTTATTTTTTCTGTCTCCCCAGCACCTGTAACAACATGTGCCTGAAAGTGGGCGTTTAACATTTGTTAAAGCCTTATCAAGATAATGCAAGATAACATGTAATGCCTTTAACACAGTGCCTGGAGCAGAGTAATGATAACAATAAAATTTTCTGGGCGAGGTTTTTTTTCCTCTTAGCATTATTAAAGCTTTTAAATGTAATCACACATAAAAGATGACATTTTATTTCATAGGTGTCTTTTATAGAAGTATTGATCCAACACCCCATCTATTCCATATTGACCTCATAACATACTCCTTATGAAGGAATAAATTTGGCCTTTCTCCAGTATGCCTGCCAACATAATTTCTGGGTTGACATCAAAGGAGGAATTTTATTCCCTAAACTTGTGTGTATTTCACAAGCAAATTGAGGTATAAGATGATTTGGATCCTTTTAATTTTCCCAACAAGGAATGTTTGAAACTTTTTCTTTTCTGCAGTTTGCTCAGATCCTGAGACAGCATTTTTAAAGAGAATTTGCTTATTTTCACTGTGTCACTTTAAACACTTAGCTCAACTGTGCTACATAATAGTTTTAAATGGAATATATTATTTAACTTTCATTTTCCATATGGATTTAGTAGGGTGTTTATGAGTACAGTTGAATTTTAGAGCAAAAGAAATGTCAGAGACCATTTTGTTTTTCTGGTCACTGCATCACTTTCCTTACATCTGAGGGGGAAAAAAATGAATAAAAAAAGAAGTGGAGCAGTCTCAGCTAGTTAGTGGCAAAGGTAAAATGTGAAGCAGATTTTCTGACCTTTAACTGGTTTGCCCTTCCTCCCTTGTTTAAAAAACCAAACTACCAGCCCAAATCTAACTATATAAAAAGACGTTTCAGTGTTTTCTAATTTTTTTTTCTCATTCAAGTCTTTGAAGAAATTACAGTGCTGAACGTTTAGCTAAACCATTAAACAATAAGTATATATAGCTTGTGGTAAAATGTGATAATAATTTAGCCACATTTCCCATAATAACAGCATGTTCAAAATTTTCTGTGCTCTTAAACACGTTGTTTCACTTTCAAAAATGGATCTTCATTTGGTTTATTATTGTTAATAGAGTATACCCCATGTATAACTTTTCTCGAATAGCTTAATTAATGCAATGATAATATTTCTTACGTTAGAACAGCTATCATAATACACTTAATGTAGATAATGTATATACCATGTATAACTTTTCTTGAATAGCTTAATTAATGCAATGATAATGTTAATACACTTACTGTAGATAAAAGTCAGAGAGCATTTTCATTTGTTAGCAATTTTCCTCTAATGTCACACTTTTGCTATTTTTGATAGTTATCCATTTCTTACTTTTATTCATGTCAATAGGGTAAGATGACATAAGTATCTGCTATAGTAAACTATGTCCCCATTTTACAACCATAAATTCTCACAAGATTAGTGAAATTATGCATCTTGCTCTCTTCACATTCCTCACTACCTAGCAATTTGCATGATGGTTTTAATGTCTAATCATATCACTCCACAGCTCTCCTTTCCCTCCTACAGCTGTTGAAAGAAGTCACAACATTCTTGAGGCTACCGTAATAATAGACACAGCTGGTGTGGATTTTTTAATGAAAGTTTTTAGAAGATAATTACAATTACGTATTCATTAATCTTGAGATGTAGAAAATATGCCACAGCATTTAAATGTATTCCAGATTTTCCTGAGCATTTAAACTTTTTGGTCTCTGCTAGGTGGAAAGAGACAAGGGTGAAATCAGTTGAGGTGATGGGGCTCAAGCTCTCTTCAGTCAGTCAGCAGGCGAGCCCTTGTCCAGAGCAGATATTTACTTGGAGGAACATGGAGAGGGAGATAGTGGAACCCACCCCTCTTAAACCTGTGTTCAGAAGTTTATCATGAATTTGTCCAACTGATAATTGTAGTGCAAAATTCAAACTTCCTTCTTTCTTACATCATGACTGTTTTTGGAAATCTGATCAAAGAGGTGAGTGGCATATTTAGATTTGCATTTCATTGTATATTCAAAATATGTATAATTTCAATGTTAAAATCAACCCTGCACATTTAGTTATATATATAATGAAGTTTGTTGTTTATACTATGAAGAAGAATCAGTGTCTGAGTTGAAAGTAGCAGTGTCCACCCAGGATGTAACTCCTTGTAATGATCTCCAGCAGCTCACTAAAAATGGCTTTCAGGTAGATGAAAATTTTTTATATTTTGAGTTTAGTAGAATTCTGGATCTTTTTTTTTTTTTTTTTCCCTGTGCTTTCTTCACATGTGGGTCATCTGTGTGTGTTTGCAGTTAAGGTGTTATGCTGGGTCTAATCTCTGTAAAATGCTAGCATTTGTTCTTCTTTTTCCCTATCATCAATCTTTCACACTCATATCAAACCCCTAATGGATCAGCAGGTTTCCCAGTGCTCCTGGTTAAAATTACCTTTGCTTTTGGTAAACTCTGAACCTTCCAGCCTCAGTGTTTTCACTTGCCCCCTGTGGATTCCGTGAAGCCTCTCTGCACATTCCTCACTGCCAGTCACTTGCTTTATGTCCTGAAATCAGGGGCCTGTGCACAGCCCGCTTATTATTCCTGCTGTACCTACCATCATTCCTTGAATGGAGAAAGTGTGTAAATATTTCCAGTAATCGGTGTCACTTATGCAAACTACCAGTGGAAGTGGTTGAAACTCCCAAAGCTAGAGTGCTTTTGTTTCCTTTACCCAATAACAGTATAAATACTTTAAACGTAGCTATTTCTGAAAGTTTCAGGATTTTTCTGCCAATTCCTGACAGAAATTGGACAACTTATCCTTCTGTTCACATACTCATTTTCACTTTTTAATACTTGTCTTTAATCCATTCTGACAAGGACTAACCATTATTATTAACAATGGATTCCAGTCTAGATGGCATTTTGTGAATAATCTGTTTGCAATGTCTTCACCTCTTGCATATTCTGTACAGTTTATACTTCCAGTTCTTAGATTGTAGCTATATTCCTTTGGAAAACAGAGTTTAAGGGTAGTACTTTGTGGTGTTACTCTTCTGTTGCCTCTAACTAAATACCCCTGTTAATTTTGGGTTACATTCACACTAACATTTACAGTAAAGTCCTGGGAAGTCCTTGAAAATTATTAGAAAAAGGAGTACTCTTTGTGAGTAGCAGTGGTGTTTTGGTATCTTTTGCCTCAAGCAAGTAAAATTCCTCCATATTGTGTGCAAACTTTTGATTTGCTATTTGGCAAAAAGCCTTAGGCTAATGACAGTGAAATAATAGCCATCGAAGTTTGAAATTGAAGTTACTCTCTTTGAAAGTCACTGAAATATTTTTGCCCTTCAAAGTATAATGTACACACCTTTGTTCATTTTAAAATGTTTAATAAATGTTTATTATATTCGCATTTATATTATGCTTGCACTTTCTAAAAGTCATAAGAGAAAAAAGCATTAGCATATCAAACAAAGCCAAAAATATCTAGAGCATCGTATTCCTGAAAAGGTCTCAGTAGTAGCAATAACTCATAGTTTTCTAGAGATGTTAATATCCTTTCATATACATTGTAATGTAAACCCTTTAATGCACAAAAGTCTGTTCTGTTCTCCCTATAGTAGGAGTAAGGTACTAAAGCTTAGTGATTACACATCATTATTAGTTTTAAGAATTACAGCTATGTCCTAAGGGATGTTTCTCTGAGTGATAATTATGATTTAGCTACCTACCCTATACTTTTAAATAAAATGCTCTCATACTTAAATATTTGGGCTGGTGCAAGCCACATTTAAAAAGATAGTAAAACCAAAGTGAATCATTTGAGTTGGTTTTCTTGTTCAAATTCTCCTTTCCCCGCCTTTACTTGTACTCCTTACAGTCTCCCTGGATTAATCAAAAGCAAATAAAGTTTAGTTCACTACATCCTTTTTAAATGTCAGTTAGATGTTAATGTGCTATTTAAGGACCAGACAGTAAAGAGGAAGTTTCAAAGTTCTGAGTATTCTCAAAATCAATATTCTGATGCTTATGTATTATTTTGCAGAATTCTGTCTTTAATTTCTTACCTGAGTTTTATCTTCATTTTTATGTGTCGTATTTGGTTTGTTTGTTACAGTGGGTACACCTTATTACATGTCTCCAGAGAGAATACATGAAAATGGATACAACTTCAAATCTGACATCTGGTCTCTTGGCTGTCTACTGTACGAGGTGGGTAATATTGATAAAGTCCATGTTGATGTATTTCTACTTAACTATAGTACATTTCTCCTATCTCCTTATAGTATAAATTTACTTCAACTTTTTTATGATAAATTAACTGACTTTTTAATAGCTTTTTATAAAGGAGTTTAATAACTATATATACCCACACATTTATGTCCTATATTTTTGTTCGCTTTGATGAAAACGATATTTTAGAAAATGCTTTTATGCTAATATATTCTATATAGCTTATAAAAAATACATTTGAACATCTAGTAAAAATTTGCTTATCCCGTGCATTGCAAGAGAGGGATATAATGGAATGAACTTATAATATGAAAGCATGGTCAATATTTTTATAACTGCTTTTTTTCAATTTTACATAGAGTAATTCACCTTTAAGGATAGTATGCAAGCAGATAATTCTAGGTTATCACTTAATTTAGTTTTTATGAGGAACAGTTTTTATTAGTAAAGCTAAGTGCCATTCTCTCCTGGTTCCCCTGGTGATAATTTATCAAAGGAAGTTGGAATCGTGTAGATCCTCTGGCAAAGGCAATCCAGTAGTTTGGATGGATAAGAGGAAGTATATTATAAGTACATTTACTTTCATATTTATAGTATTCATATCAAAGAATATCTCAAGCCTAGTGACTTCTGTAATTTTGTTTAATTGCATGGTGATTTTCTATCTATAAAACTTTTAATAAAATAAAATAAAGGAAAATAATACATGGAATCATTTTCATAGTTTAATGTGGACATAAGAAATTTAAAATGGAAAGATATAAACCAGTTTATTTATCCTATATTTATTCATTATCCTATATTTTGTGACTTACCTTCATGACTTTAATAAAAATACATGACAAGGTGATCTATTTTAATTTCCACCATTACTTGGAAATGGAGCATAAAATAAAATACACTTTATTTTAAAAATGTATTTTGTGCTTTATAGTTATTATTCACTGATTACATATTAAAATTTCCATAAAGTACCTGAGATTATTTAGTTTATTTCTCCTGCTGAAGTTACTAATGCCTGTTTTAAAAAAGAGATTGTGTTCTTAAATAACATCTTTAGGATAATTTATTATGAAGAAATATAAAACAAAACATGTTTTTAATGTGCATGTGAAATTTAAAGACTTATGCTCACTATATTACATAACATGTTAATAATTTGATACAATCTTAACAGGAACTGTTTTGAGTGTATTAAGCTACTGTAATGTTTTAAAGTTACTTGGAACATTTAAATATATTGCATACTTTTGTGAGTAACCTTCTATTCCTTCAAGCCAATCTAATATTATCAAAGCAGCATTTTCCCTTTATACACTTAAAAGTAAACAGCTGATTTCCACTAACAAAATTAAATTTAACCATGAAAAGAAAAAGTTTAGTCCAGTTGATAGGTATTTTGAGATAAGTTTTTATACTTCTCTTAGGGCCAGCAGACTCTCGGCTCAAAACTGAAATAATTCTGCACATTCTGAATTTGCCTTTGAAAGGCAGTGTCTCATTTTATGACCACTCAAATAATAACTATTTCTTTGGACATTCCTACCTGTATAATTTTTATGTGTTGTGGGTGATTTTGACTTAAAGTGTTCATCTTTGTTAACTTTAGTTTCCCTCTCAATTCATTTTCTCAGTCCTACCATGCAAATGATTTGGAACAACTAGAATTTTTCTCAAAATTTAATTCCTTCCAGTTATTTAATTCCTTCTCTTACTGCCTTCCAGTTACGTTTCAGTATAATGTTAATAAAGATACCCAGTAATTTAACTTTAAAAAATTGGCCATCACATTACATATAGATATTTGACGTTGTATCTCACTAAGACTTTATTATTAACAGTGAAGGAGTTGGAAGCCGTTTTTGAAAATGTATTTTAAACACAGAAAATTAGACTTTCAAATATTCTTGAAACCTCAGGAAAAAAAAAACTAGCAGAACAGTTTTAATTGATATGCAACAAAGTAGACTTTACTAATTAAAATCAAGATGCTGTGCTTTTGCTACACGGACCTTTACATGGAAAAGTAGGTTTTACACATTTCCTTTATTGTTCAGCGCAGCAATTGCATCCTTACAGGGTTGTAGGTTGGTGGCTTACAGTTCAAAAAAAAAGAGAGCTGCCACCAGCCCCGAAGACAGACAGTGGGCTTTCGTCCCTCCGACACCCCCAGAATACTAATCAGGAAAGTCAGACCCTGGAGGTCAGGGAGCAAGTCAATCATTCTAGCGATCGTCTCAGTGTGGAGGATCAAATTAGCCTGAAAAATTCAGCTGCTGGGAGGAGAGGGCGAGCAGCTGTCAGGGGCAGCATCGAGATGCACTAATGAACCAGATGAATAGTGCAAAAGCTTGAAAATAAAAACAGGACAGTTGACATTTTTCATCTGTCAAAGCAGGAGATGCATGAAAATATACTATTCCTGTTTAACTCCTTAGGGGACATTCAGATTTTTTTTTTTTTAACACTGTAGTATTGAGACAAAAGTACTGTAATGAATCCTAGCATATGAAAATGAATGTATGTACACTTACTTAGGGTTTCTACAGGCATGAAGAGACTAGAGTTTATATGTGTAAATGTGTTTTCAAGGTGGCATTTTTAATATTCTCTTATTACATTCTTGCATTTTAAACAAAGGACATGATAATCATCATAGTTCTTCTTTTAGAAATTCCTTCTCAGACATTTTTTAAGGAGTATTTTGAGTTGTTTTTTACTTTTTCCTCTTCATGGGGAAGACTGTTCCTAAGCTGGTTTTATACCGGTTGATGTAAGTTTTATATAAAATGTGGGCTTGGTGAAAATATAATGCACTGCTTTGTGGGTTTGATTTCCAGTCTCGTCCGCTCCAGGTTCAGGCTCCGAAGGAGTTAAAGTCTGTCTGGAGCAGCAGAAGACAGATGAGAGCCATTTTCAGCTTGTCCTGTCCCCGCTGACGCTCACTGAGTAGCACAGCATGGACTAGCGTGTTTCACACACACTCTGCCTGTCTGGGGAATGTACACATTGTCCTTCCAAAATCAAACTTATTAGCACATGTAGAAAAGGGTGACTGACTTTGGGGCAGCCTTACCCTCCGTGTTGTATTCTTGCTGCTGCGGTTCAAAGATTTAGAAGGTTTTGAACAGGATGCGAACATTTTAAATTGAATTTTTAGTTTGTAACCCTGCTTACGATAGTACTTGCTTGCACTTTAAATGTCAAGTTAGAACCTTGTCTTAAAATAAATTTAAATTCAATAATGTCTTTTTTAAAGTTGTTCATTCTCGGAGTCTTTTTTTTCTGCTTAAAAATCTTGTATGGAGGCTCTGAAGTAGCAACTATGACTTGTAGTGCTTTTGAACATAGTATTTTTGAGACATTATCCAGAGGAAAGAAGTTCTAATTCATTGTAAACTACTTGAGCATCAGTGATAAGTGTTCAGATTAAGAAGATTTTTTTTCTCTAACATAGAAACATCATATTAGATAAAAATACTATGTATTCTGTTTCTTAATTTTTACTAGGTTACAATTCAGTTGTAACTGCAGTTTAAGTCTGTTATATTTTGGAAATTACATAGTTGATATGTATCAGGGATGTCTGTTTTCTCACAGATAGACTGGTTGTTTTATGCCACTATATTTGCAAAGAGTTTTAAGTTCATGTTTTTTTTTTCTTAATACTCTTTCATATGATGTATGTGTAAACAAATGATTATAAGTTAACCATTTCTCCCTTTTAGGGAATATTAAATGTCGGGAAAAAAAATAACCAGATATTGAATTAAGATTTTTAAAACTTACTAAATAATTCTCAGAAAGGTGGTATTTGTAAAAAATCAAAATACCCCAAAACTTAAAGTATTTGTGAATATTTCTAGCCTATTATAATGTACTTGATGAAATCACATTTAAAATTGCTGTGTCACTTACATCAGTTTATTTGGGACATTTTACAGATGGCCGCATTACAGAGTCCATTCTATGGTGACAAAATGAATTTATACTCTCTGTGTAAGAAGATCGAGCAGTGTGACTACCCACCGCTTCCTTCAGATCACTATTCAGAGGAAGTGAGTAATTTTTCAGTCCATACATTTATCTCTTGTTCATTTTCCTTATGTCTTTATCTTTTTAGAAATTTTCCTTTATACGGATATACAAATGATGAGGCAAGGTGGCAGAAATTGTACTTTTCATTTGTGTTCATTCTCTTGGACACTTGCTGTTTAATAGTTGACTATGCAATTCATAATATGGTGTGAAACACCAGCACAGCATGTGGTGTAAAATTGGCCACTTCTAGGTGTGCTAAGAACAGTCGCCGACTTCACAGCATACTCAACACAGCTGAGGGCAGAATTAATGCTCAAACCCAGGCTCTGGTTAATCACCTTATCTAGATGCCCTGCTTAATAGGGCAACTCCTCATTCTCACAGTCTCAGATTCGTAATTTTAAGTTTCTTTGTTGGCAGAAGTTCCCTTCCTTCCATGTTTTCAAAAACAAATGTTCTTAGCTACATACCTCTCACCTTATTCTTTCAGCTTTCCCCTTCCTCCCTGCCAGTACCTGCCCCGTCACCACCATACTGCTGCAGTCAAATTCCTATGGGAAATGTCTTGAGGTTGTCATTGCAACATGTTAGAAAGTATATTGGATGGGATTAAAGATTGAGGCTTTGCTTTATTAAGATCTGAGTCTAGCTTGTGCTTGTTTTGGTGACCCATTAAAATGGAATTGTTTGGGCTCTCCCTAACACTGGGTTTTCAATAAGCAAAATATTTCCCAGTTAAGAAAATACATCATGATTTTACCAGTGTTTTGAGGGGAGGGTATTTGCAGAAGAGCTTTGTTTCAGGTGACTTAATGTGTCCACGTGGCTCTTTTTTGGAAAGCTCATTGGAGATATACCCAGAGGAAACCTGCCTTGAACTAGGACATCTCACCTTCTCGTGAGCTGCAGATTTTTGCCCAAGGAAAATGGAAAGGGGGAAAAGGAAAATACAAAACAATTATAACGTTAACTTATTAGATAGTGTTGTCAGTCTATTTCAAATAACTAGAAGTAGGTTTTAGCTTTATATATGGAAAATTGAATCAGTATAGCTTGAATAACTATCTGTAAAGAATTTTTACTGTATGTAAAAGACTCGTGGTCCTGAGATGTTATAAGTAGCTTTATTCCTAGTAGTTTTGATATTGATCATCACTGATGTCTGGTTTCCTGCTTTGTGGCATTTATATTCAGGTAATTAGAATAAACCTTTTAAGCAGTAATGATAATTTAGAAGTATTATCTTTATTTGATGTTATTGCTTTTATGTTAGCCATTTTTAATTACTATTTTGGGTATAGAATATAAATATAGCATTTCACAAAACCAACTTCAGAACTATAGGCCTGGAAATACAGTAGGGTGTGAACAATAATGCAAAATGATAGCAAGAATGTCAGGGGCCGTTCTTTGTTGTGTCATTCATGCTGTCTTCTTTTTTCCATGAAGCGCATGAATATTTCACATATCTGCATCCTCATCCCCTATTCTTCTTGACTAATTTTCAGACTGTCTGAATTTGCATTTCACATGGTAGCTGATTAGGAGATGCCGAGTGCAGCAGTGAAGCCTCAGCAGGCGGTTACCATGGTGACCTTCAGCAGGATTTTAATGATGATACCACTAGTGGTTCGTTGAAGTCGGCCTGCCTGCAGGGCTACTTCACTGCAGCTAAGTGTGAAGTTGGATATGCGGATTCTCAGCCAAGGGGCAAATATCAAAGTCTGGCCCAGATAGAAGGTCTTAGAGTTGGGAAAGGAAAATAGATTCCACTTTTTATTGTACTCTATATAGTTACCAGTTTCGAAAAGAGATATAAAGCAAAATATGTTATATGATGTACTTTCCAAAAAGGACAGTGTGATTCCACATATTGGTAGAATCTGTTGTTATGCTGTGGTCAAGTGGGAAGTTAGAATATCTAGGTAAACATGGAAACTAATTCCTGCTAAAGAAATGAAATATAAAACATACAGACTAATAATGTTACTCTTAACTTGTTCAGTTATTTAGAAGAGTTCTTAGAACAAGAGCTTGAAATGCAGGTATCTAATCCATACAGTCTCTTCTTAAGAAGGTACTCAATTTGTTGGTAAAATAATTATTCAGAATTTATGGTAGGAAAATTCCAAACATATTTGATGCTGCCATACATATTAGACATTTTAGATCTCTTAAAAGTGCAAATTGCCCTTTAGTTTTTAGCCTGGCATAAGATAGGAGATGTTGCAAAGTGAAGTATAAAGTTTGGAAACAGTGAACTTTTGTTAAGAGAGACTCTTAAAGTGTCACTTTTATAACTAACAGGTAATTGGGGTAAAAAAAACAATAACAGGTAATTGGGGAAAAAAAACAATTTAAGCAAATGTATTTTCTATTAAATATCTTTGTGGAAGTTCACCAAATTGACATATTTACTACCCATTATTAAAGACTACTACCCAAACAGGATTTGAAGGAACACTTCATGAGATAGTAACTGTGCCTACTAGTGAGCCTCACGTCGATAGGGAACTTAAGAACTGTACAAGATCTATTTCTAGATATTATCATTCCATTTAGAACTCAGAGTTTGAGTGGTTGAATTTTTTAAAAAATGTCATATTCTATTGATAAAGCAAAGATATGCTTAAGTAATAATGAAAACCAAAAATGGTAAGTAGCATCCTTTGGAAAAGTAAACCTGTACGTTAAATCTTTCTTTTTTTAATTATGCAGATATTACAGTGTATGAATGATTAGGTTTATGATTAAAATCTTAGCTATACATGGATGATATTAGGAAATGTGCATAAACCTGTTAAAATATTTTTGTTTATAAATAAACACCAGTCATTTTTTTGGTCTTTAACATTCTTTCAATATCCAGTGTAGCTATCATTACCCATGTATCAGCAGAGAATTACTGTGAGCGAACAATGAAAATCTTAGATTGGAAAGGTATTTCCCCTTAGCTATCTCTTAGTTTGAATTAAACTTGAAGTTTTTGGCTTTTATGATATTAACATGAGTGAAGCAAGCATTCATTGAACAGTGAATGTGTACACCGATTGATGACTCAGAAGGCCCCTCCTAAACTGATCTGAGTTTGTCAATACTGATGCATCATGGGATACTCTCTTTTCCCTTAACTCTACCAGGGTAGAGTCTATCAGAAGTCCCATGAACTTCCATGTTTCTCTGTGTGCTGTTTCCTCTCCCAGAAATACCCCTTCCTCTGTTCTTTACCACATGAACGCATTCTCCTTAAAACAAAGCTTGTACATCTTTTCCTGCTCAGTTTTTCTTCCCCCCCCCACCCCTGTTTGACCCCTCCCCTTGCCCCATTCCCTTGGCATTCACACTGCATTGTGGTTGTTTCTTTGCATGTGTAACTCCCTGCCTAGTTGCTGCACCTGAGTTTCAGTAACTCTTTTTTACCTATGTAGCTCTATACACATTTTAAAAGGTCTGATGGTTCATTATTGATTGATGGGGAGAACTAGGAAGTAAAGGAGTGAGATTAAAAGAATAAATGAAAAAGAGAATGAATGAACTGAGTGTAAGAAACTCTTCCAAAGAAAATTCTATGTAGTTAGGCAGAAAGTGACTCAAGAGACAACCCAGAAGATATGATAGCTGTCTTTTATTGATAGTACCTGTTATATGATTTTTTTTTTTTCTTATAAGCAATCAGCAGCAGCGTCTCTGGTATATTTAGTAACTATTTACTGGGAAATAGGACAAAAGGGTTTCCCCCCTCAATTTCAGTGTTTGATTCTCTGAGAGATACTAAAGTGATCATGAAAAGTACATTTTCACTATCACTCACTAAATTATTCCATGAGACTCTTAAGTTAAAAAAATAGTTACATTGACAATTATTTAGAAAATATAAAATGTTTAATATTAAAAATTCATCGTTTAAGTGGAAAGAACACAAGAAAGACTGCCTAGAATTGTGCCTTAGTGGCACGATCATTTGACAGTTACTCTTACAGGTTTGAGAGTTTTGGAATGGAATTGTGGAAAGCTAAATAAAGGGTTTCCATATGAAATAAGTAAGGGGAATTAGGATGATCATGGTTTTAGAAAATAGAGTAGCGTGAAATTAAAAATCTGAGAAAAATACTTTATGCAAAAAAGAAATTTAAGCAGTTATGAATCATTAGTGAGCTGTTAAACTATATTTAATAAAGTAACTATAATTTCAATACTTCATGTTGATCTGAACTGACGTCTATGAGATTTAGAGAGGTATGTATTTATCAGTAATTTAAAATTTTGTGTTAATGGACTTTTGGTAGGATACCATGTTATCTTCTAATTAATATTTCTGAAAACTTGCCAACTCATTAGGTCTTACCACTACTTTCTATAGGTGAAGAAATTAAAATTCTAATTTTGGAATTAGAATTACTAAGCGACTAATCAGTTTTCACATTATTTAATAATCACTCTTGGTCTACACTAAATTTCACAATTTCTTTTGTACCTTTATACTGCTAACCCATTGATAAGAAAATTTGTTTTTATTTAAAAATCCATTAATGGGACTACTTTTCAAGTATATAATATCTTTAAAAATGTCAATCTACAAGGTCACATCCAAGCAAAGAACTAATGAAGAATGAATGAAATCTCATAAACTTCCACCTCATAAATGGTAATAAACTTTTTTTTACTATAACTTCCCTTCCTTTACTTTTATTTTTTTCTTTCTTAGGTAAGAATTTGCCATAATGCCCCTCCTTGTTGTTAGACTTAGAGAACTATGAAGTTGGAGTGGAGGTTTTTTTTTCTTCTTTTGCACCCTTCCAGGAATAGTTTATTGGTACATCCTAAATGTTATTCCCTGCTGTTTCGTTCAGATGCATAAGAATTCCCAGCATCATTTTTGTTATTCTTCAAACAAGAAAAGTATTGGTTTTTCCAAAGTATTTAAAATATAAGGATTGAAAAGCATAATATTCTTTCTATGCTTGATTATAGTATAATAACAAAATAATATTAAATTTTGAACTGATCTAAGTCATTT